TTAATGGCCGATCCATCTTTCCAGACTGTGCCAAACATTTCCTATGTGCTCTCACAGGGCTGCCACACACTGTCCCACACAGGTATAGTCATGATTTCTTTGTAGAGATAAGAGACCTTCCTGATCACCCTGTCAATAAGCAGTTGAGTGCCCCGGCAGGATATATTTGGTTCTACTCTTTGTGCCTATGTTATACAGAACATAGGAAAAGCAATGCCCAGCACACAGTAGGCACTCAACAAATGCCATCTTACTTTTCTCCTGGCTTCACTGTTGTTTCCTGGGCTGTCTTATGGGGGAAAGGCTATGGAGAGGGACAGTGACGAGGATGGGTGCTTGGCAAACCAGTTCTTCATGGAGCCAAAGAAGACAAAGGCTCAATGCCAAGTTCTTAATAAACTTGGAGCCTACAGGGAAGATGGATTTCAGCTCCTTCTATTAATACCCAGTGTCCTAAGGTTCTTCCAGCTCAGAATTTTTTCCCTGGAACTGCCACAGAATCCCTTAAAACGCCTTTCAGAAGACCAGAGGCAAGACTATGAAGCAACTCTAAGTTGCAGGTAAAACGGGTTGGGTTGGGAGTCTGTTCTCCAACAGGGAGACTGGGTTTTTTTAGGCTGGGTGATGCCATTTCCTTTTCTGCCTGATTTTCCATTTCATAGAGAAATCACAATGCTCCTCTGGATGTTTTAAGAGTTTGCCAAGAAAACCATGTGAGGGATGTATGTGTAGGTCATTCACAGATTATAAAGCCCCATACACTCATACTGCCAGCGTATCAGACTTGCTGGGAGAATTCTTGAAGAAGACACAACACACTATTTGAAAGCGCAGCCACGAGTAGCAGGCTGGAGCATGGAGAGGGAGAGGGTAGAGAAAAAAGAGCTGTCAGAGCTCCTTTGCAGAGCTGGCAGTTAACCTTCAATCAATTTTACAAGGCCAGGAAATAGCCATATTTTTAATTAAGTGTCCACAGCAGGATCAGCAACATAAAATTTAATGGCAGGGAAGACACCAACTTGAAAGAGCCGTAGCCTCTTACCTCTCCTTCCAGGAAAGAGATTTTTTCTAAAAGCTGCAATATTAGGAGCTGCTTCTGTTGCACTTTTTTCTTTAATGATTCAATCTAGAAAGAGACAAGAGGAAGATCGTTAGATGAAAATGCTGAACTGTACAATAGCAAGGTAATCAGTGGGCAGAAATGCTTTTGCTTGTTTGCATAGAACCTGTGTGCAGATTGCTTTTTGACTTAATTTTTTTTCTTTTTGAGGCAGGGTGGGTCTCATTTTGCTATATAGCTAGACTGGTCTCCAATTGCTGTATAGCTAGACAGGACCTTGAGCCTCTGATCTTCTTGCCTCTACCTCCTGGGAGCTAGGATTTCATGTGTGTACCACCACATCTGTTTTATGGGGTGCTGGGGGTACAACTTGGGGCTTTGTGCACATCAGGTAAGCATTCTACCCACTGAGCTACGTCGTAGCCCTTTTTTGTGGATTCTGCTTCCTGGATCACAGCTGACCTGAGACTCTCTGACAACAGGGGGTTCTGAGACCCAGGGATATCCTGTTAGGTTTGTATAGCCAACCCCTCCACACCACTGTGCTATTTGGATAAGATCCCCTTGCAGTTCAGGGAGTGCTTCAGGACAGACACAAACAAGTCAACAAAGATGGCATCTAGCTTGGATTAATGAAGCACCTACATTTTAAACATTTGGTTACCTCTCTTAATACATTTGTATCTGACCAACCAGGTATCAAATGTTTGTTTGGGGGGGGAAGGATCACTAAAATTACTCATGGAATTCAGAGGGTTAAGGACTCATGAAGGTTACAGTAGGCAGGAGCAGCTCCAACAAGCAGACCTGAGTTGCACTGTCACCTGTTACACCTGTAACTGTTACACATGTTACACCTGTAACATCTTGTACACACCCTGGAGTCCTCTTGGCTTTTCACTCAGGTATCTTGTTTCCTGGGACAGAGCAGAGGGCCTCCAAAGGCAAGAACCAGGGTACTCTGTGCCAGGTCATGTCTTGAACAAAAGTGAGATCAGTATGCAGACTCAATCACTGGCATGCTACATTTCCAGCAAGCTTGTGTATTTGGGCATCAGGACATCCATTTATAAAAATTCCTCAGTGCAAAGTGATAGAATTCCCATGGAACAGAACCAAGTGACACCTGGGAAAGCATATGCATGTGGATTGTTTGATCCAGAAATACAATTTCTATGCATATATCCCAAACATACATTGGACAAATTATAAATGACTTGAACGTATGACTTTTGGTTTTAGAAACCACAAAACCAATTCCATCAGTAAGTGACTAGATGAACAACCTGCACTATACCCTGCCAGTGAAGGTCTAGGAAACCTTCAAAAATAAGGATCTCTTACATACTGATATGAGAAACTTTAAATTAACTAATTTAATGGTGTATGGGTGCTTTGCCTGAAATGTATGTATGCGCATCACATTTGTGGACTCTCCAAAGAAGCCAGAAGAGGGCGTCAGATCCCTGGGACTGGAGTTAACAAGAGGTGGACTGCTGAGAATCAAGCCTGGGTCCTCTGCAAGAACAGCCAGTGCTCCTAACTGCTGAGCCATCTTTCCAGCACCAACTTTAGAAATGTGAGAATGTGTGTTGTGGCTGGAACAAAGCAGCAGGAAAGATAGTCTGAAAAATCGTATTATGCCCAGTACTAACTGATACTAAGGATTGTCATTGTGTTAGGTGTGATGACAACATTGTGATTATCTTAGAACAGTGTACGTTTTAGACAGGCACTGTGCATGTGCAGGAGACTTCACACATGAGCTAGGATTTGCTTTAGCATGGAACATGGGAAAGGAGAAAAGAGGAGTGAAGAAAACCAATGTGGCTGAATGGGTCATTTGTTAAACCTGGAATGAGCCTATTGGGCTTCACTGATATTCTCTTTGTGCTGGGTGAACTGGGCACTTATTTATTCATTTTGAGACGGAGTCTCTAACCCAGGCTGGGTTCAAACTCTCTGTGTAGCTTACAGCCTCAAACCCTTGACCCTACTGCTAAGATTACAGGCTGCAACATCACACTTAGTTTTATGCTGTGCTGGGGATCAAACCTAGGACCTCCTACATACCAGGTGATCATTCTGTCAACTGACCTACATTCCCTGCCTGCATGTGACATTTTTACTATAAGACAATTTTCATGTGATATCAAGATATATAACCCTATGGAAAGAAAAGCTAGCCATATAAAATAGAACCATTTAAACATACATAAGGTTTTTAATAACTAAAAAATTAAAGAGAGTAACAAGTTGCCTTAATACCTCTGAAATCTGGCCCTAAGTAGTGCCTCTGGAAGGCAACGCTGGTGAGCCTGAGAGGGACAGACACTCGTATGTTGCAGGTGGCACTGTAAATTAGAATGACCCTTCAGGCAATTCAGCAATAAATATTAAGAGCCATAAAGCTGCTCAGACCCTTTGACCCACTAATCCCACTCCTGGGAATTTGTCCCAAGGATATAACTCAAACACAGGAAAAAGGCTGCAATGTAGAAAGATGTTCTTGCTTCCATTATTTATAATAGAGAGAAAATGGAAATAACCTTAATGCCTCGCACTAAAGGAACTGGCCATAAATTACGAGACACCAGCATGATGGAGTATATTACACAAACACTGGAAACAAACACATTGCAAAGTGGGCAAGTGTTTATAAAAAGCCTCGAGGGACAGAAAAACAAAAGTTTACCCAAGTGAAAAGAAAAGCCATCAAAGGGATTAGGGAAGAGAAATAGTTCTGATGTTGGTGTAGGATTGTAGGCTGAAAGGAAAAAAAACTGTCATTTTCTCCATTTTGTATAAAAATGGCTTACAAAAACCATCCTTGTAATGCTCTTTTGCCTTTCCTTCCTACAGCATTGAGATTGTGTGTGTCGCTATACAAATGTGTGTGTCTATGTATGTTCGTGTGTGTGTGTGTGTGTGTGTGTGTGTGTGTGTGTGTGTGTGTGTGTGTGTGTATGTGTGTGTAGGCCTGAGGCTGATACTTCCTCTGTTACTTTCCACCCTGTGTTTTGAGACATGGTCTCTCCCTGACTTGCAATAGATGGGCTGCCCAGGAATGCTTCCTGTCTCCACCCCATCTCATCATTGCTGGAACTACAGGCACAGTCCACCATGACCAGCTTTTTTTGTGGGTGGTAGAAATTCAAACTCATGTCCTCATGTTTTCAGGGCAAGGACTTTACCAACTGGGTCATCTCCCCAGCCCTTAAGATTTTTAAAATTAACTTTCAGGGTTCTGTTTTGTCTTGTTTTTCCCTTTTGATGGTACTGGGTATTGAACACAGAGCCTTGTACATGCTAAGAAAGCACTCTACCACTGAGCTATGCTCCCAGCCCTAAATGAGGTAAGTCTTTAAGTGTCAGCCAAAATGAGGCCTAAGATGGTAAGGTGAAAAATTCTATCAATAACATGAAAAGTGATTTCAAACACCCTAGCCTTCTGCCTCTGAAAGACTCTTGAATGACTTGGAAGTCAAGGAAACAAGAAATATGGTTTTCTTTGAACACTAAAACCAGGCCTCAGACAGTAGCAGAACCTTGGGACATGAAGATCTCATGGGAAGCCACAGGCCATCCTGCTGGCTATTATGCATCATTTCCAGTTTTAAAATGACAGCAGTTTTCCCTATCTGTGGTTTCTGCATTCTCAGAGTCAAGCTATAGGCCAGAAATAGTTTTTAAGTGTCTGGGTTAAATGTGTACAGATTGTTCTCTTGCTAGTACTCCTTATATAATATAGCATAAAAACAATTCACACAGTTATGGTATTTTATTGGGTCCTACAAACAATCTAGAGATGCTTAAGAAAGAGATCTGTACAGACTCTGCCCAAATACTGAATTTCCTGAAAGACCTAGAAATTCTTAGATTGTTTTGGTTTCCATGGAGGATTCTAGAACCTGACACAGATATCAAGCAATGGCTATGAGTCAGTCCCCTGCAAAGGCATCAGGAGGCATGACAGACAGTGCTCTGGGCTTTCTTTTTGAGAAAGGAGAGAGAGGCTGTGTCACTGTGAGGAGGCATTTGGTTGTGAGGAGGAAGGAATGCTGGGGAGGCCTCGGGGATTTTAGCAAATGTTCCTGACTCAACGGTGATACTGTTAAATGAGCATTCCTCCTGTGCAGCCAAACTGGGTTTACACAGTGCTAGGGATCAAACCTAGGGCTGTATGCTGGGTAAGCACTCTACCAACTTCGCTACACCTCATCCCCTCCTTTCTGTAACTATTTATGTTTTGAAACAGGGTCTTACACAGCCAAGGCTGGCTAGGAACTCACTCTGATGCTAAAGACCTTGAACTTCTGATTCTCCTCCCCCACCGCGTGCTAAGATCATAGGCCTGCTCCACCACCCAGGCCTTCTGTGACTTCTTCAGGCATTCCAGTTTGTAACTTGACCCTCAGGAAGTTCAATTATTCTTCAGAAAATCCGCATTTAGGTCTAGCTATCACCAGGTGGTAGTAAATGATCCAGAATATTAGGCTGAAGTCAGGATGTTAAAAGTGGGAAGTCAGAGAACTCACTTTTCAGACTTCATATGTGACTTCTACAAGACCTAATCATGTTATACTAGCTGAATTTAAATATCACACTGAGGTACAGTTCTAGGCCCCCTGCATATAATCTTACCTGGAATCTTTAAACTGAGGTTAAAGGAGGCCTTCTAACTCTGTCTCCATCAGCATGGCTCTGCACCACACTGAACACATGACTACACTAATGAGATCTTGCAAGATGCCAAGTGTTTAAAAGGAAAGGGAAGGGTAGGGAGAGGACTATGTGACTAAGAGCACTTATTGCTATAGCAGAGAATCAGGACTCAGTTTCCAACACCCACACTGGGTGGCTCACAACTGCCTGGAATTCCAGCTCCAGGTGATCCAACACCCTCTTCTGGTGGCTGTGGGTTCTGCATACAGTGGTGCACATACAGATAAGCAGGCACACATATGCATAAGCTTTAAGATTTTTTTTAAGAGAAGGGAAATAGCAGTTGTAGCTTGTTATAACTGACCACTGCTTTTCTCCTCTGTAGCAACAGTTGAGATACTTGCATCTGTAGTTTGAGCTGAGCAGTCACCCTAAATCATGGCCACACACTGTCATTGCCCGAGGAGGCAGGGGGCTCACAATCTGGTGTTTGTTTGTTTGTTTTTATGAGCTGTTTTGGAAACATTACTGTAGTAAAAGTATTCCTCCCAATTTGCCTCAAAAAGAGTTACCAACCAGGCCAAGAAGACACAATACAAAAATTTAGGAAGTGTTGGGAAGACTATGTAGCTGAATACTATGTCAGCCCAATCAGTCAAGTGGTTACAAGGCTGAGCTGGGTCCTCAGAGCATGCATTTAAAAAGGCAGGCATAGTGGTGAGCCCTGTGAGCCCTGTGCTGGGACCAGGAACTAGCAGATTCCCAGGATTTAGTGACCAGCAAGCCTAGCCTAATCAACAAGCTCAAGGCTAGTGAGAGACCCTGTCTCAATAGATGGATGGATGGATGGATGGATGGATGGATGGATGGATGGGTGGATGGGTGGATGGATGGGTGGATGGATGGGGATGGCTCTTGAAGAATGATGCTAACACTAGAGGTTATACTCCAGCCTCCACAAGTATGCACCCTGATATATGCACCAATACACCACCCACCCACCCATCCACCTACACCTACACACACACACACACACACACACACACACACACACACACACACACCACCTCCTACACATAATTTAGGACAGGTTCCACTCAGTATGAAGCTGTGAGATTTGCAACTCCCTGGGCTTTTCTTTCTAATAGAAACATGTAAGATACAGGCCAATTTATGTTAGAGGATGAAGAATGATACCCTCTATAGCTGGGTTTATGTGACCAGGTGTAGAAGGCTCAGGAAACATAATTCAATATGGAACTTTGGAGCTGCGAAGAGAAATTAGTGAAGAAATATAGTCACAGACAAGCATTTTATATCAGATATGACTGACACAGGTTGTTAAGAAAATTATTTTCTTATCCCAGCTGAGAAATGATAATACATGTGGACAATGCCTCATAAAGGAGGACACACTGAAGCAAAGTACATGCAAGATTCCTACCAGCTAGATACATCCCAGAACCACGTGTACAGTCAGCTTTCTTCCCTCCACAAATCTGTACTGAAAACCATGTTAAAAACTGGTAGTCAATCCGGGTGGTGGTGGCACACACCTTTAATCCCAGCACTCAGGAGGCACAGGTAGGTGGATCTCTGAGTTAGAGGCCAGCATGGTCTACAGTGTGAGTTCCAGGACAATCAGTGCTACATAGTAAAGCTCTGTCTCAAACTGCCCTCTACCAAACCAAACCAAACCAAACCAAAAACCCAATTGATGATCAGGAGTGGGGATGTGGCTTACTTGGTAGAGTGTTTTCCTAGCATACATGAAGCTCTGGTTTCTATCACCAGTACCTCATAAAGCTGAGGTGGTGGTGCATACCTGTAATCTCTATACTCAGGTATTGACCAGCAGGAGGATATGAAGTCCAAGGTCATCTTCAGCTATATAGAATGTCTGAAGCTATTCTGAACTACTTGAGTCCTCCTCAAACAGCAACCAGAGTCAAGGGTGAGTACAGGGGCTCACACTTGTAATTCCAGCACTCAGAAGGTCAAAGCAGGGGCATTGTCACATATTCCAGGTCAGCAGAGGCCACATAGTGAATTCCAGTCCAGCCTAGCCTACAGTATAAAGTCCCATTATAAACAAAGAAACAACCCCTTTATCACAATTAGAAGTCTTACCCTGAGACATAGACAAACCAGCCATAATGAAGACAGAAAGTTAGGTTTGGGTAAAAATTTTATAAATGAGAGGCTGAAAACTGTGAAAGTGTTAAAATAATTAGGGATCAATGTCTAGGATTCTGATCTAAGCAAATAGGACCTCTTGGGGAGTTGCTGGTCAACAAGTGGCTTAAGAAATTGAAACTCAAATTTAATCAGAAGCCAAGAACTAGCCTAAAATGAGGGACATTACCAATCAGAAGCAAGTACTGGACTGGAATCCACCAATAAAACTCTAGCTTGGGACCTCAGAGATCAGAAGCTGACAACTAACTTCTAACTAGGCACTTTCTAATTTAGATACATACATACACACTATTTTTAAATTTAGTTCAAGGTCTCATGGATCCCAGGCTGGCCTTGACCTCGCAAGTACCTGAGAATGGCCTTGAACTTGATCCCTGCCTCCACTTACAGAGTATATCTCCATGCCTGGTTTATTCTGGGGGTTAAACCCAGAGTTTCATGTCCACTAGGCAGACAGTCTAAGAACCAAACTACATCCCCAGCCCTCAATTTCCTTTGTCTTGCTTCAGACGGCATCTTGTGAAAGTTTCTCCCTTGTGCCCCTTGTGAAGTCCTGGACTGAAACACTTTGGCATGGTGTTGCCTGATTCATGAATGGACTGAAACAGTTCCACACAGTGCTCATGAATGGCTGCATTCTTAGAGCTAAAAACAAGACAAAACAAAAAATACCAATAGGTACATTGATTCAACCATTTAAGCTCTTGTAATAGAAAGAAGCTAGGCTAAATTTGTGCCATTTCGGCCTATTTCCTTTAGAATCTGTTTTATTGTGTATTTTGTTTTCATTTTTCTGAGGCTATAGGTAACGACTGCCAGATCATGGAGCAGGAGATTGGGTTGAAAACAGGGAGGGCCCTCTAAGGACAAAAGGAAGCGAGAGAGAGGTGGAAGTTTGAATGAATTCTAGAAGGCTCTTCCTGTCCTGTTCCATCCTTGTTCTTGTGCTACAAGGCCACATGTATTCAAGATCAGGACTGAAGGGCTGTGACTGCATTAAAGTTAATGAAGAAGCCACACTGTCATCACCAACACACTGCTGTGTTATTGCTCACTTCCCGAGGACCCCACCACCACACCACCAGGGCCATCTACCTTAAACTTTGATCACTCTCTCTTTGAAACATTTGTGAAAGATGTGTAAATGCTGTTCCACGTTTCTGAATACTGAGAAATAGAATTTCAGGTCAAAATAAAGTAACAGCCTTCTCATGGGAAGTATGTGTGGTCACAGTATTTGGAAATTTAAAATTTCCATAAGGAACCAGCTAAGATCCTCAGTACTGTTTCCATAATGTATTTTTATGTGTATGTTTGTGCATGAGTTTTATGTGCACTGCATGCATGCAGGTACCCTTCGAGCCCATAAGACGGTGTAGGATCCCTTGGGCCTGGAGTTGTAGGTAGCTGTAAGTGCTGGGAAGGGAGCCCTGCTTCTATGCAAGAGCAGCAAGTGTTCATCACTGAGCCATCTTTCCAATTATCTCCCCTTCCCTGAACCAATACTGTTTTCAAAACCACGAGGGATCCATTGAGTCAGGGATCTTACAGAACAAGGATGGAACAGGACAGGAAGAACCCTCTAGAATTCATTCAAACTTCCACCTCTTCCTTTTACGTCCTCTTGTTCTTAGAGGGCCTTCCCCGTCTTCAACCCAATCTCCTGCTCCATGATTGCATAGGGATTACCTATACCCTCAGCAAAGCAGGGACCATGTTTGAACCCCCACACCATACCATGGTATGAACAGGATTTGCATCCTTCTTCTGAAGGGTTTGGTTTGGCACAACTCCCTATGATTCTAGTTTAGAAGTTTTGTGGCATTGTCATATTTTCAAGCTTGGTTTGACTTGCTTTATTTGCAACGCTAAGGATTGAATCCTGGGTCTTATGGGTACTAAGTCATTGTGCCACTAAGATACATCTCTACCTCTTTTAGTTACAAATTTAAGCTTCACTTTCTTTGATAAAAGAAATGCATCATAAAATGCAAAAAATTAATACACCTCAGCCTCCTTTTCAATATAATAATGAACAGAGCAATTTGACAAGATCAGACTGTGTCCTGAACTAACACAACCTGGAAAAATGGCTTCACAAGGATGAAGAAGAGGGTGCATTACCTCATGGGAGGGGATGAATCAAGGCCCCAACCAAATGAAACTGAAAATTGCTAAATGAAGCTCTGAGTGGAGAAAATGAAAAATCAATGGAGGCCCAGAGGAGAAAGGCACATTTTTCATCTTCATGGTAGGTAGTGGAAATCCACTTTCAATTAATGTGTCTTGTGGCATTCAGCCAGGCTGGATACGAACAGGGTGCATATTTTAATCAATTTTTTCTATTAAGTTTGAAGTAATATATAACAATAGAACTATGCTAGTCAAAAGGCTCAGTTGAAATGGGCTTCTGAGCTAAGATAATCTTATTTGGTTTGATTTCTACCTTAGATTGATGGGAACTCAACTTCTCTGAATAGAAAAGCATACGGATCCTCTTGGGTACCTAAGAATGACTTAGATGTCAGGGAAGAATGAATACATTGGCTGATGCAACCACTGGGAAGGAAGAAACACATGTACTGGGTATCAGGCTTTGAGTAGCTTAGTTGGTGATGCTCACAAACTAAGTGATGATCACCCCCAGCAAGGAACCAAGGTTCAAGATGCTGGCAAGAGCTGAGATCTCAGTTGCAGCCTCTCTAATGCTGAGACCCAGGATCTTTTTATCCACATCCTGCTGTTCTGGGATTCATGTGCTACCATCCTCCTGAGGACCATACTTTATCATCATGACAGTGGCCTGGGAAAAATGGTGGGCTGGAAAAAAAAATGGTGTTGTAGGTTTGCTCTACAGAGAACCTATTGGGGTTGCCCAATGTTGTGTGTGTGTGTGTGTGTGTGTGTGTGTGAGTGTGAGTGAGAGAGAGAGAGAGCGAGAGAGAGAGAGAGAAGAGAGAGAGAGAGAGAGAGAGAGAGAGAGAGAATGTATGTTTGTATGTGTCTACTATCCATGGTATATGTATGTTTGTATGTATGTTGGTGCATGTCTTCTTCACTGAACCTGGATCTTACCAATTGCGTTAGACTGACTGACTTGCAAGTTCAAGGGACCTTCCTAGGTCTGCCTGGTACTGCCACACCCAGCTTTTTGTTAGTGCTGGGGATCTGAACTTGGGCCCCCATTCCTTCATGCAAGCACTTTGCCAACTGAGCCGTCTCTCCAGTAGTAGTCCCCACCCATCTTATTTTCTGGAACAGGGTCTCATTAGCCCAGGCTAGCTGACGATGACCTTGAACTTCAGATCCTCCTGCCCCCATCTACTAAATTCTGGGATTGCAGGCCACGGTATGTGCCACCACACCCAGAAGGGGCCCCGCCTCTTTAAACCTCCCCTTCCAGCCCCCCAGGGAGGCAAGTGGAATGGAGAAAGCAATAGCTTGCTCGTCTGTCCCTGAACTGTCCTGGATGGATGCAACATCAGAGGGAAAACCCAAGATGCTGATGGGAGGGAGTATCTGGGAAGAAGGCTGACTCAGAGCAAGGCAATGCCCATCTCTTCACAGCAGGCACAAAACTGATGCTAAAATATGGTCCTAAAGTTCAGGTATTGTGACTATGAACCCTGCCCACACCAGCAAGCTCTCCTCCCAGCCCTCTCTCTTCCTGCGTCCCTGCTATTAGCCCGACATCCTAGATACCACTCTGAGGCTCAGGGTCAATCAAACAGGAGGAGCCACTGAGAAATCTTGATTGATAATAACCTTGTTCTTGGCTTAGTGCCCAACACCCACCACAATGGGTCTCAACCCATGTTTTCCTGCCTCTCCATTTACCACTCCCTCATCTAATCCAGTCAAACAAGACCCGTGCCTGGACTCACCCCATTCTTTATGGTCTTCATATTTTTGGTTTTATTTACTTTATATCTTATCTGGCATGACTTCTTCCACCCATTCAATTCCTACCTAGAAAAATCCAACCCATCCTGCAAGATGCTATCAGACACTGTCTCCTCCCTGCAGACTGTCCACGCACAGGAGAACTAGTTCACAATTGGAGGCACTGTGGTAATCCAGCATTGGCATGCATGCTGTCAGTCAGTCCACACCACCACCCGGGACGGGTACTGTCACGACTGGTCTCATTTTAGTGAAAAGCAATCCGAATCTTGGAAAGGATAAGGAATTGGTGAATTTGTGAATACAAAGCCTAGTCAGAAGCAGAGGTAGGGGCAAGGCCAGATTTCATTTCATCAGAATATAGGATAAGCTGTCCAGCTTCTGTGTTCCCAGAAATGGTCCTTTCACGATATCATATTCACAACAGCTAAACTTCGGGGATATTTTCAAAGGACCATGGCTTAGAACTGGGTATGTTACTCAGCACAGTCTCCCTCACCCACTGACGAGTTTACAGGTCTTTCAGAGAGTCCCCCGAGAGCAGGAGCCCACATCCATGTTTGCACCTGCTTTATATAAGGTACTTCATATGCTTGCTGATGATCTCTGCACAGAGAGCTATGGGTAAGTTGCACCTGGCTCTCCTCCTTCCCCACGCCCAAAGCCTAAGTCTCGAGATTGGGCTTTCCTACAGACTCTGGCAGAGGGGCAGGACCAGAATATTCAAAGACAAGAGCACAGGGGGAAAGAGCTCCAGCTTGACAAAGGTGGCATGAAAAATAAAATCAGTGGATAATGATACTGGAAAAACAAGCTTCTCATGAGGCAGAAAGAGACAGAGTGAGCCCTGGTCACACCAGAGACACAAAAATAAATTCCAGATGGCTTAGTCTTTATTTGTCAAAAAATAACATTTATTGAGCACCTACTGGATACCAGTGACCATTCTAGATATTAGGAATACAGTCATGAATGAAACAGGCCAAAGGCCCTGCCCTCGCCGAGCTTCCATTCTATAGAAGGGAGAGAGACAAAACACAAGCGGAACAGACAAGCGAAGGCAAAGCACCCCACATGCAGGGTAAGTGCCGTGGACAAAACCAGATGAAGGAGAGGGGAAGAGACTCACACATGGGTTTCAATAAAAGATAAAGATGACAAACAAAACTTTAATACGATTACAGACAATGACAAACAAGACATACAACACAGTAGAAAAAATTGATAACTGTAACTCCAGAAAAACTCAGTATTTGTGTAAGAGATGCCACAAACAAATACCACCAACTGGCAGATGAGAACATCACAAGTATTTTTCAGTAAATGATTCATGCCAGCAACACAGGTTATCAGGTAGGAAGATAAAGGAGTTGATTTAAAAACTCAATGAAGGACATGAGCATTAGTTCACAAAGAAGAAGCCTGGCCAGCCAGCTGAGGGCACCATATCACTCCCAGTCCACAGTGAGCGTTCTCCAGGCTGACAAAGATGAGGCACTAAATGCACCATGACCTGCCTATGCTCTTGTGATTACTATTTTTCTAGAATACACAGGGAAGAAAGGCTGACCCAACTGTGTTAACACTATGTTAACCACTAGAATTTGAAACGACAACATTTTCGTTGGCTACAAATAAATTCTGCCCCAAGTTGAGCAGAACCTCCTTTGGGTGGAGTGAAGAGTGGCTAAGAGACAAGACACAGCCTTAGGAGTCCAGGCAAAGGGTCCAAATAAGAGCCGGGGGAAGTAAGGGTGACCAAGAATTTGAACACGAGTCAGGTTTGGTAGCAATTTAAGTCAACGTGACACCGTGCCAATCTAGGTAGGAAGACAGAACTAAGACATAGGATTGTAAGTTGAAGCAAAGAACCCAGATCAAAGATCACCAATTAGTCTACAGCCAGGGTCAGGAGAGGAGGAGGGAGCAGCATTCAGGATACATGAGGAGAGTGGTGTTCACACTCTGGGTGCCTCACCATCTTCTCCACAGAACAAGACATCTCTGGCTTCCAGGGACTGACCATAGCCCAAGAGAGGAGAAACTTCAGACAGACAAAAGCACACCACACCACACAGGAAGAGGATTCACCCCATGCAACTCCTCTGAAGTTCAAGGCCACTCCCTTAGATGCTGTGATTTCCCCTCCTGAGACTAGGTAATGAATTGTTCCAGAAGAAATGCCAGAGGCTGAGCCCCTAGGAATAACACAGGTAAGTGACCACCTAGGGTCATGCAGAATGAATGACTTTCGACTCTGACTCCAGCTTTCCACAAACCCCTACAGAGAATGTGGGGTCCGGCTTTAAATGGGATCCCACCCAGGTTCATGTCACTGAGAGCTCTTCTCAGGTGTGGAATTGTCTCGTCTGCTTCCTTCCCTTCTATGCCACCCTAAGCTGGGATTGACAAGAGCATGGATATGAAACAAGGGCAAACTCTGACAAAACAGCAGGAACCCCCAGCCAACAGTTTCCTTTTTAAAAAAAAAGCTCATAGAAATGCCAAGGACAGAGGGACACCCACTCCATCACCACAGTCTACTGGCTTACGTAGGCTAACGCCACCCTTAACTAAAACTGCCACCAGACCACCCACTATCTCCCATCAACCCTTGCTACATTCTGATGAAATAATAGCACACTATCAACAAAGGCCTCTATGAAGATGGACCATGAACAAAGCATGCTTCGTTCATCTCACCCCCATACATCTTAGCTAGACATATTTCTCTTTTCACTGGGCATATTCCCGCTTGTCCTGAAGTTGGTTGGACCATGTCTATCCAAGCAAGATACCCAGAAGGATAGAAGCAAACTGAACTTCCTTTAAACAAGAAAAGAGAGACATTAACTTACAATGACTGTAGACAGTAATTCAGAAGGGACATCCAGAGGATCACCTCCAAATATGAGGGCCACCACATAACAAATATGACCAAACCACCAGGACATTAGTCCACTCTACATTTTCAGGAGTGTGATCCAGTGAGGTGCGCCTCCTTCCCAGAGCGCTGACACACTTCGCCTCTCTTCCCTTCTCCTTAGTGGGATCTTCTGTGGCAGTCCCACCTGACACTTTCTGAGTTACCTTCAACCGTCTTTTTCAATGCAGTTCTTGTTTTGATGTCTAGGAACACAAGTTTCTAAAAAGAAACAGCCCGTGTATCTCTGAAGTCTCTTTGAGCTGTTGTTTGTGGTTGTATGTGTTGAGGCTACTGTCTGAGAGTGTTTTCACAAATGAGGGCCCCACAGGGCCAAGGTTTCCTTTGAATAGCATATCTTTCCTGCTTGCTCCGGGCTCAGCACAGATAAACACCACCTTGTCCCCGAAGAGTATACAAGTATTCTTCTAATCACACCCAGTAAGACGCGTTCACCTCTGCTTCTACCCAGAGCAGGCTACATCTTATCATCTTCCAAAGAGCCGGAGACTAAATGTGGAGAAGAGCTCGTGCGACATGATCTGGGGACAGTTCAATTGAGTGGTTAGGGTTGGGGGTTCAGGGCCATGGCTCCTTCCCTGACCCCCATGAACCTAATTACCAGCTATGGGGGGATCGGGGACACAGGGCAATTCCCCAAAGCACACATTTGTGTTGCACATTTCAGCACATCACGCAACAGTTTCTAAATGAATTGTGTGCCAGCAGATAGCTGGACCACATAAAATGCAAGATCTTTGAGACAGAGAAATTTTAACCGTTCTACTCAAGAACCTGATGAGGGACATAGCTCAGCTGGCAGAGTGCTTGCCTAGCATGCATAGGACTGTGGGTTCAATCCCAGCAGTACATAAACTGGGCATAGTGACGCACACTTGTAGTCCTTGGGGGCTGAAGGCAGGGGGATTTGAAGGTTAAGGTCATCCTCGACTACATAGTGATTTTGAGGCTATCGTGGTCAACATGAGGCCCTACCCCCGCCCTTTAAAGAAAACAAAGAAGTAGTTTGATGGCTAAACTAGAGAGTGGCACACAGCATTGAAAAGAAGAAAGGCATGCCAAGAGAGAAGGGCAGCCCTGAGCATGGGAGAAGCCATAAACCAGATACTCTGATCACTTACCTGTACTGCGCATCTGCATCACAAGAAACCATTTACTGAGAGCAGTAATATTAGTAGCAACTGGGATTTGTTAGATATTTTCTGTGTTGTTCCAATGAATAATATATATATGTATATATATATATTTCAGTATATAAAAATCTGAGCCCACAAGTTCAAGTTTATGGGTATCTTCTGGGTCACTACACATACTATGTCCATAAAGATCTCTGAGTGCATGAGTTGTGTATGGACTCAGGGCCTGCTGTGGCGGGGGAGGGGGGGTCAGTTCAGAAAATTTATAAGGGCAGAAGGGAAAATGCTCTGCCAACTGATCAACAAGCCAGGAGCTCAACACTTCAATCTCAGACAAGTTATGCTCTAGCTGCCCTCCCGGGAGAGGGAGGGGACTTGCCTCCCTCAGGCCGTGGCACTGTCACTCTACAAAAGATCTGCGGTGGTCGAGGTGGGACTTCCAAGGCTCTTCATGGGCATTGCAAACATGCCCTGCTTTGGCTTTCATGTGAAAGGCAGGCCCTGCTAAGAGAGCCACTGCATTTGGTTGTCCACTGGCAAAGCCTTCCAGGCGGATCCACCCACAATCACAGGCCTCATGAATCTACAAATGTGGCTCAAGACAAAACCATAAATTTGCTAATTCCGGTTCTTGAACATGCACTTTGTAGATGACAATGCTGTGCTGCCAAGTCAAAATATTGGACACACCTGTGAATCTGGATGGATTCCGGTCACCCATGGGGCATTCCTACATGGGAGGAGGCCACCAGCCACTACTGCATGTTATCATGCTGCCACAAAGCTCTTCCAGGGCCCAGAGCCTAGGGCTAGCAGGAAGAGACGGCCCACTTTTTAATTTCCCTGATCTTGTCCCTGGTTGCTATTCCCTGGGCTCTTCTTCTATGACAGTGCCTTTCTCTAGGTTCACAGCCAGCTTTCTACCTTGGGTACAGGAGCTTCTAAAGGAGGCTGGCCAGACAGTCTAACATGAAACTCCACAAGGAAAGCGTGTACGTGTACTCACACACTCTCTCTCTCTCTCTCTCTCTCTCTCTCTCTCTCTCTCTCTCTCTCTCTCTCTCAAAAGACACCAATACTCAGCCTGCTCCCACCAGCAGTTGCCAGCTTTGGGGGTTTTTCTAAGCCCCCCCCCCCGTGATCCTAGTACCCAGCCACGTGGAGAAGCAGAAAAGGGAACATCATTTCTGTCTTCTCACTGTAACCAAATAGCTATGTTGCAGGGTAGGGAGATGGCTCGGTGGATAAAGGGCTAGCTGCACAAGTGTAAGGACCCAAGTTGGGATCTCCAGCCTCCCCATAAAAAGTAAGGTGGATGTGGTGGCTGCCTGTAATCCTAATGACTGGGAAGTGGAGACAGGAGCTGGGGGGGGGCAAGCTGGCTTGCTAGACTAGCTGTATCAATGAGCCCCAGGGTCAGTGGCAGACCCTGCTTTAGTAAAAACAGTGAAGGGGGTGAGCCAGAAAGACACCTGCCATCAACCTTGGGCCTCCACATGCACACATGTGCTTGTACACATGCAAGCACACATGTATACGCAGACCTAAAAAAGACTGAGAGATAAAATGAAAGGATGCTTAGTAGTCACCCTGGAACACAGCTAAGCAGCACACGCTCGGCCTTATCACACAGAGCAAGACCTTACCACTCTGCACAGTGAAAGCCAAGTTGTGACAGCAAAAGCTGGGACAACCACTGTTACTTTCATCACTGCTCTTAAAAGTGATGTTCATGTCAGCCAGTGGTAGCACACACCTTTAACGCCAGCACTCAGGAGGCAGAGGCAGGCATGTCTCAAGTTCCAGGACAGCCTGAGTTACACAGAGAAACTCTGTCTCAAAAACAAAACTAACAAACAAAAAGATATTCCACTGAGGTAGGGAAAATATATTACTTATACAAAAGGTTTTTAAGAGATAGTGACAGCTGGATGTTTGGGGCTGATAAATACGCCCACACTGACAGGTTCTCCAAAGCTGTTATCACCAAAATAGGACCAAAAAAAACTGGCAGGAGATATCACCAAGTAGTCCCAGCCTTGGGAAAGGTGGAGCTGTGTCTTAGACAAGCTTTGGGACTTCAAGGGAAAGAGGAAAAACATCCCTGGCAGAGGCTGCACCTACAGGTTGCCCCTAGGTGAGCTCAAATGGGGACCAGGTGTTGACAGATAAAAATACACTTCTCCACTGAAGTGGGAATTCAGCATCTCACGGTAACTAATTCAATACGTAGTTTTCAAAAATGAGGCCCGAGTGGCCTGGGGTGACTGAGTTGTGACTTTGTTGATTTTGTTCCAGAGACCTGAAGTGCTCAGAAAAAGCCACACCTGTGCTAAGGTCCTGCAAGGCTGGTGACTGATGAGAGCTTGCTGATTGTGGTGAGTAGAATGTTGCAGATCCAGAACCAAATTATCTTAGGCTATTATTAATTGCCCAGCTGTGTCTGACCTAATAGCCTTATGACTACTGTGTGAAACCTTCTGTGATATATTAACTAACTTTCAACAGCCACACAGCTAAGGGTGTCATCAGACCATGCCTGAGACCCATAGCAGCAAGTCCCCTGCCTGCCCAATGCTCCTAACGATGTACTTGAGAAGTGCCTTGATTTATGCCTTCCTTTAGTTCTGTAACTATAAAGATCACAAAACCGTTAACCACGTTGGAACGTGGCATTGGGAGTACCCTGGGTGCATGTGTCATTCACATCTGTCTCCAGAATAAGCCATCTCTTACTCCCTTTGAGGTGAGAGCTATGTTTTTTGTGTGGACTCTCTTTATATAACAACAAAGCTAAGATCACAGTAACAGACACAACACACACACACAAATAAGAAACAATAAGATAAAGAACATTGCCAAACTCAGCAGATTTCCACCAGCTACCCCTGCAGATTCCATGGGATCCAGGAGCAACACTAGCAAGCGCCACTTTGTAAGGGATGCACCTGTGATCTGGGGCTAACTGTTTACTCAGAGCAGCCAGGGTCTGAAATGCGGTCTGTATTCTGAATGGGATTCGACACTTCCTTCATTGAGAGCGCCACCCAGTGGCTCTGACCTGGCAGTGCACCAGAATAACCCCCCCCCCACACACACACCTCCACAAACCCAGTCGGTGTAGCACCTCCTCAGTCCCCCCAGCTCCTGTCTCCTTTCCAGCCTGGGGCTCCTCTGAACACACTAACTTGTCCACGCCACTCTTCCACATTTGTAACTTTAAATAACATAAGTGCTCACAATAATTAAGATTTTTTTTAAAAACCTACTTTTTCTGTAGGCATGATCAATCACAGTGTGCTGGACAAGCCTGATTATTTTTACTTCCTGATTTAGAGATCTTAAATTCAGAATACAGACTTTTAAAAATAAAAGTCTCCTTTCGCTGTTAAAACCCAGGCAGCTGGCAGGTGGCACTAGTGCCCCTCTCAGGGCTGTCCTGATGGAGGTCCTGTCACTCCACTGGTCTTCCACACTCAATGTGAGAAGCTTGTGAGGGAAATGTGAAGTAAAAGGCATGGATGTCAGTGTTTGCACACTCCCCGCTTGGACACACACTCCACACACGCAGGCTCAGTCCTGGGATCCACACTGTGGATTCAACCACCTTCAGACTGAAAACATTTGAGAAAACAAAATTCCATCTGTGCTGAGCATGTACAGATTTTTCTCCTCATCGTTATCCTCCAAACAATAGGGAAAAGCAACAGTTTACACTGTACTCAGTCTTGTAAGTAGTCTAGAAGGATTTAAAATACACAGAAGGGAGACTGGAGGCAGTTCCACAGTTAAGACTACTGTGACTGCTCACAACCACAAGTAACTACAGCTCCAGGGGCTCTGTCGCCCTCTGCTGGATGAAACAAGCAGTGAACTCATAGGGCACGAACACACACACACACACACACACAGTAAAAGTACAATTTTTTCAAATACACAGGATTGCACTTGTAGTGTACATATATACAGGGCTATTTTATATATGAGGCTTGAGCATCCAAAAATGTTGGGGGTACTTAGAAGGTTCTAGAACAAAATGCCTCAGATATTGAGAACCAAAAGTGTGTGTCTAGGTGTATATGTGTGCGTGCGTGTGTGCGTGCGTGCGTGCGTGCGTGCGTGTGTGTGTGTGTGTGTGTGTGTGTGTGTGTGTGTGTGTGTGTCGCCTCCTTCACTCTCTTTAATGAAGAACATACTCTGGAAATATGATATAAAAAAGAGTTCTGAACTTTCCTGAAAGTGCCCTTTTAAAAACACCTCTCTGACGTTGGTGTCAGCCACATCTCCTTATAGACAAGGATTTTAACTGACTCAAAGGTCAAATCAACCCAAGGCTTACTCGGAGCCTCTCTAGACTAGAAGTGAGCAGTACACCCCCTGCTGTGAGGGAAGAGAAATGGTGGCCCCAGACAGAATCACACTAATTAAGACATCGCCATGCCTGCAACTTTAAACGTGCTCTGACATCCCAGGTCCATGGAGATGACGGACACCATCCCTTGGCAAACACACTTCTGCCCGTGCTGGTGGGATGGGATCTCGCCCGTCACTTTTGCTGATGGCGTACCCACATGAGTGCCTGAGTTTAGGAAGGTGAAGCCTGACTCCTCTCCAGCTTCTGCTGCCCCACTCCCTGGACACTTGTGTGCGAGCCATGCCAGACTTAACACGGTGTGACGACTTCTCATTTGGAGACAAGATTTTATCTACTGTGAATATTTATTCTAGACCTAATTAAACAAAGTATCACTCCCACCCTCATAATTCCCTGACTTTACCCTTACCAAAGGAACACCCAGCATTTCCTAGATTGCTAAAGTGGATATGCTTTTAATTTTATCTGTATATAATTTATTGAAAGTATCTACACTTTAAATATTAATGATTCATTAAAAAATAGTCATAGATCTGGGAAGACCCCCATTTGGTAATGTGTTTTTCTTGCAAATATGAAGACCAGAATTCGACCCCAGAAAAGGATAGGTGTGGTGATATAGGCTAGGTGTTGTAATACAGGCTAGGTGTTGTAGTACAGGCTAGGTGTGGTAGTCCAGGCTAGGTGTGGTAGTCCAGGCTAGGTGCTGTAGTACAGGCTAGGTGTGGTGTTACACACTTGTGAATCCCAGCCCCAGGGGAGTGGAGACAAGGAGGATGCCTGGAGCCTACTGGCCAGCCTTATTGGCAAGCTTCAGGCCAGTAAGAGACCAGTCTCCAGAAATAAGGTGAACAGTACCCGAGGCAAGATGGTAAGGTTGTCCCCTGGTCTACACACACATGTACACATGCACACATGTGCGCGTGTGCACACACACACACAAAAAGCATGCATGTACATGAGCACACACATGCACACACGCACGCGCGCGCACACACACACAAAACATGCATGTACATGAGCACACACATGCACAGGCACACATAAAATGGGCACATATTTTAAAGTGGTGATTATTGTAAGTAAAATAGCTTTTCCTGTTTTCTTCTGCCAACCAAACTTTAATTCATTTGACTTTATTCTTCAAGCTAAAGAATTAGACCCTAGATATTCCTATAACCCTTACTTATATATTCTTGTAACAGTCACTGCTGTTACTTTTCTATCAGATTTTTCTATTCAATTTTTTTCTACCAATTTTTTAAAATTAAGAAACATCTACAATGGGTTTTGTTCTGCTGAGTATCACTAGAAAGGGAGGCAGACTACAATAAGACAAGGCAAAACCATTTCGTTTTCTTCTTAGAGAACTAAATGTTCAACCTACCTTTTTTCTTCTCATTTAGGAAAAAAATAGAATGAAAAACTTCCCCGGCCAATTCAATATATAACTTTTCATGTTACACAGGAGAGGGAGGTGTAGAAGAGAGAAAAGGCAGAGGAGAAACAAGAGTTAGGAAGGAGCAGAGCATCATGGGAAAGGAAGGAATCGGGCAGAACAGAGAAGGACACCCAGGAACAGAGAAAGGGCGCAGCAGCTGGTGCATGGTGCAGGAGAGGAGGATGGGCTCAGGTGCATGGAAACCTGAGCTGAGGTCACCTTCTGTCACCTTTTGTCCCCTAAACTATAGGACTCACATGTGGTGCCCCTGTCCTTGAAGAGTGTATGAACTGTGAACTGCACTTGGCCAACACTTTGGTCTAGAGGAAAACCCCCTTTGCAGGGAACATGCATTGGTCCACACATCACACAAGAGGAGCTGTCCCTTTGGGCTGTGATGACAGTGGCCTGGTCAAAGTCACCAAAGGAAGCTGTCCTGGGTCCCATGCTTCTGCGAGAGCTTACCTCCTCAACCATCTGCTTGACCTTCTTCTGCTGGCAATGCACCATGTCATCCAGGTGTCTGATCCGCTCTCGGAGGCTGGCTGATGCCTCCTCCAGCTGCTGGTACCTAAGGGAGTAAAGAGAGCTCGGAGTCCTGACTCAGAACAGACACCACAGCAGAGACTGTCACAGTGTTGAAGACTGCAAGAATAAAACCTCAAACTCAAACGCCCTCCTCCCCCTGGACTCTAGGGATCAACTTAGAATCAATGTCACCCCAGAAAGAGCACAGTCGTCCTTCAGGTCCCCTCCTCATGTATAGTGACACTCTGTACTTCCTGGGGGAGAATGAGTTTTTTTCACCATTGACAGGCATGAGAGCATTTCGGCTTGGGGTTAACACAGACTGGGACATGCAGTCAGTGGCCTTAATTAGGGGACAGAGAAGGGGAGACTAAGAACCCGGAGAAGCCCCTGAAGTCAAGGAAAGCCTGCAGCCAGCACTGCCATGTCCATCGCTTACTGAACAAACAAGGCGCACGTGGAAAACCCTTCATGCATCACTGCCCGCACCACACATTTCTGAGCTTTTTTAGAGACATGATTCTGTCTTTGCTTGGCTCAAACCAACCAAAAGGGGCTGGCAGGTGACCTGTTCTGTGTCACTAGAGCAGAGCACTGGAAGAAGTGTTCAGGGTCTCCATCCCACTTCCCAGCAACACCAGGTCCCTCATTAGCAGGAAAGTAGAAACTAGTAAGGACCCCTACAACTTTGGAAACGCTCAAGTTACAGGAGATGGGCGAATGAGATGGCTCAGCAGCTAAAGGTGCTTGCTGCTAAGTCTGGTGATCTGACCCCACCCCCATGACCCATATGATGGAAAGAATTAATTCCTGAGAGTTGTCTTCTGACCTCCACATGCATGCCAAGGACCATCTGTGAAGCATATACATACCTGCATAATAAATAAATATAGTTTTTTTAATTTAGGAAAGCAGACGTTCCTCCAGCATATACTATGCAGCAGGCAGTAGGTCAAAGTGCCCTCACAATGTGAACCAAAGGGATAGGCATCAGATCAACAGTCCTCACTTAGAAAAAGAATTTCCATCCAACAGTTAGGCAAAGAGCCTGGGGTGGGAGCGAAAGGTAATCTGTTTGAGTGCTCTAATTATCCCAGCCTTGCTTTCCTTCCTCTCTGTCTTTCCATTTCTAGAAAAGACCATGATGGCTCCTGTGTTTTCTTCTATCCAGGGTTTCACAAGCTCATGGCCAAAGGGCAATGCAAGACTTGAAAACAAGCAACACTTCAAAATTAATTTCCAGGACCAACAGTATCAGCCACAGCTGATGGGCTATCTCATTAACACGGTGTATCCTGGAGAGCTCGGGGTCACAAGCACACACAGACTGAATGTCAGTGTTTGTCTTTGATGTGTCCTGCTGAACTAAAGCCAGCCTTGGGCAGTGAGATGTGACTGTAAGCTCCTGAAGGAGCTGGATCCACACTGGGTGTGGATCTCAGCCAATGTCATACTTACATAGGTCAGTACTGAGTGAGAACCACGTGAATGAAAACACAAGAGTCAAATGAGCTAGTCAGAACAGGGCACATGGGGCTGGGGAGATGGTTCAGTGGGTAAGAGGACTTATTAGGCAAGCATGAAGACCTGAGGTCAAATCCCCAATACTCAAGTAAAAAATTGAGCATAGCTGTGGAGTAGGGCCTTGAAGGAGGGGAGACAGAAGTTTGACCAGGGCTTGCTGGCTTCTAACCTAGCTCCAGGTCCATCAAAAGACCCTAGATAATGGGATTAAGGCAGGAAGTGATAAGAGCAAGACACCAGCTTCCTCTGGTCTCTGTGTGCATGAACATACACATGTGCATACAACATACATGCAAACCAATGTGTGTGTCTGCCTCAAGCTGCTACAAGTCCAAGGCCAGCTCGCCTCACCTGTCCTTGTCAGAATCCGCAATCTCTCCTGACATCTCTGTTTCATGCTCAAGGAGCTGGAGCTGGAGTTGGTGGCGTTCCTAAAACAGACATGACAAAATGGACCCAGATAGAGCCAGACAGGTGAACACCAGACACACCAGCTCTGGTTTGCCCAAGTGTGTGTCCACACCATTCCCTGGGTTTCACATGTCCTCTAGCCCAGAGCTCAAAACTCACTTGTGGGTTAAACAAAGCACTCTAATCAAATCACATGAGCACCAGTCCAGCTCACGTCTTACAAGTATTTATATTTCCTTCCTTCCTTCCTGCTTCCTTCCTTCCTTCCTTTTGAGACAGGATCTCTCTGTGTAATTCTGGCTGTCTTGGAACTCACTCTGTAGAACAGGCTGGCCTTGAACTCAAAGATCTATCTGCCTCTGCCTCCTAAATGCTGGGATTAAAGGGGTATGCCACCACTGCCCAACTTGAAAATTTATATTTCTAATCAATGATAAACCATATCACTAATCAGGGGCCTGTGGCATTGCTAACTTCCTGAATTCAAAATCATCCAGCAAAGAGGCCCTGAAATTCTGCCCATGTCCTATGGACTAACCCAGTCATGTTTACACAGGGGTAGTCACTTTTAAAGGATATATTTCTGCCATTATGGCCAGAACAATGGTTCCCACACACACAAAGAAGTTCAGATCTGGTCCCTTGTAAACATTATCTCACACAAAAAAGGGAGCTTTGCAAGAATGGTTAATGATCCAAAGAGTCTCATTGGTAGAGTTGAGCTCTTATTAGAGGAGGCAGTAGAGTCAATATCAGGGGGCTAGGAAGTTATTACATGGCTATGGGTATGGGCTACAAGCCAAGTAATAAGGGTTGTGCCCAGGAGTTAGAAAAGGCAAGAAAACAGTCTTTCTTTTAGAACTCCCCAAAACCTGTCAACATCTTCATTCTAGGACTCCTCACTTCCAGACAGAAACTGACTTTTTGGCAATTTATTTCAGTAGCAATAAGAAACATAGGTGTGTCAAACTATATGCTTCACAAACTTTGCTGAATGTATAAACATACATGTGTAAATTTAAGTTTGTCCTAAACAGTAAGAATTTTTGCAAGCACTTCTTTGAAAAGAAAAATCAGGATAATGTTAATAAAGGCACAGTGTCTGTCATCACTGGAATGATAGTAGAGACGCATTATAGATACTAATATAGCAAAATCCCTTAAAATGCATTTGCCAAGCCCTGCTGGTGGGGGGTGGGGGTGGGGAGGTGCTTTGCGAGCTCCTCTGAGAAGGACTGTGCCTCACTCACATTCTTGGTAATTCTACCCAAAACACTTGTACGACTGACATGGGCTCCAGACCTAAATGGTGAGATTCTGTTTTCAGGGTAGGGGTGGGGACACGGGCATGAGTAAGAAAGGGGTCTGTAACTACCCTCGTCAGAGGTGTGAAGGCCTGGGTGACCAGCCAGTAAGGAGAGGTCAGAGGCCCACCCCTAGATTTATCTGAAGCCTAGACAGACCTTGCTCCACCATTAGGTTGGGTGTCTGGAATTAGGCTCTAATGACATCATGTCCAAAGTGGGTCCAGTGCTATCTGCAACTTCAGTCCAACTGGAAAGCTGTTTTCCAGAAGCTAGAGCCAGCTTTGGCCTACAACTCCAGAAATCAACCTCTAGCTGCTCAATGTCACCGTGTTTTCTCTTCCTCTCCTTCCTGTCTTTTCTCTTCCACTTCCTGCCTCATTTCTGCACCCCCGCCCAAGTCTGGCTTGTCAACTCTGTAAGCCCCCACCCCATTGTCAGCTTGTTTACCACACACGATGAGTTTGCTGCCCCATCTCATTCAGGTCCCAGGCGCGTCATGGAAAAGCCAACCTGTCCCAGACACATGCCCCAGAAACAAGAGGGGCGGAGTGCTGAGGGAGCCTCCAAATACATTGCCTCATCAGGTTAAAGGACAAGCACATCTAGAGAACCCACAAAGCTAGTTGCTGCAATATTAATTGCAGAAAGAATTTTACAGGTGACATATTTTTTAAGCACATCAAAATAATTTTGATGGGCTGGGCTGGGTTTGTCTAACACATGCACGAGGCCATGGGTCCGACTGCCAGGACTACAGAGAAAAACAATAGAAACAGTTACCAGAGAGGAAGACAAGAACTTTGTTCAGCTTCCTTCTGTGCTGTCACAGGATGTGTTGCACTGAAAACTGGGGGGCTGACAGGAGTCAGCACTGAGGCTGCTGACCCTAGGAACTGGGCAGGGGGACAGCAGGCCCAGGCCGCATCTGTTACCTTCTCCATCCGCTCAATCAGCCTGTCGAGCTCTCCGATTCTCTGGTCTTTCTCCTCCAGGCTGAGCTCAGCTGCCTCCATCTTTTTATTGGCCTCTTCGATGGCTTTCAGAAAGCTATTGGTTTCTTCCTGCAATAGGCACACACTCTCCTCAGCAAGTCACCCAGGTGACTCACCTAAATGCAGACAGTGCCTCACTGGGTCATGATCTCCCTGTGAAAGCATGACCCTGGGGCCCACATTTCTCACACACAGTGAGCTCGACTGTCATGGGTCTGGTTTCACCTCTGAAAGAGAACGTCATGTAGGTAGTCTCCTTTAACTTTATTTAAGAGTTTATATCTATTTTGTGGGTGGAGATTTGGGTGCCAGGGTACGTGTGTGGAGGTCAGAAGGGGGGGGCAGCCTGCAAACGCCTGCTCTCTTCCTGCAGCATGTGGGCTTTGGGATGTGCTCAGCTCATCATCTCTGCAGTAAGCCTCTTTACCTGCACAGCACTTGCTGGTCCCTTGTGTGGCTTTTCCATGGGCCCAGTAACTCTCTCCTAAAAGCTTATGTTCCACACGTGTAAAAAAGAAACAAAACAAAATAGCCTGTGAAGGCTTAAATAACAAATGCTCAGAGTGTCACTACTGTGCGGGCCAGCATACAACTGAGGCAGAATGAGGAAATTCCGGCTCTTCCTCCCACAATGCAATGCACCAATTTACTCTAAAGGAAAAACCCAAACATCTGGTGCATTGATTGCGCCTTCAAGGACACAGATGAACCAGACACAGACGGACTCCTTCAAAGAATGTGGGCCCTCCTAGAGAGGCCAGGATGTGAGCCCACCTCTAGACATAGGCACAGTCCAATCCCACAGCCAGGAGGAGGGAGAATGGCTTTCTGAGGACAAAGTCACTTCTAGCTGTGGGAATGTCAGACCTCAGGATGGAGAGAGTGGAGTTTCCAAGGCTGGGGGCAAAGGTATAATCCGGGATGGGGGCGTGGGAGGTTTCAGAAAGAGGAACAAACAGAGTAAAGAGACAAACCCAGGATCTACTTGGATGTGGGTGGATGGTCCTACTAGCTGGAGAAATGTGTACTTTGATACAGAGTCAATGGGTTACTCAGAAGGAGGAAAATGTGAGTGAATGAACAATCAAATAAATCCCTTGAGCTCGAGAGACAGCTCAGTGGGTGAAGAGCTTTCTGAGCAAGCATGAGGACCTGAGTTCAGATTCCTAGCGTGCAAGTAAAAGCTGGGCATGACAGTGCTTGCCTGTGTCCCCAGCACTGTGGAGGCTAACACAGGGCCGTAGGGGTTGGGTGTCCTGGGAAATTGCTGGCCAGCAGCCTAAATGCCAAGCTCCAGGTTCAGTGAAAGACTCTGTGTCAAAATAAAGAATAAAGAAGGTGGAGAACGGCAGAGGCGCACTCCCAGCGTCGGTCTCTCCTCTCTGTAAGTGTGCGCATGAGCAAGGACATCTGTCTACACAGTGCACACATATAAGACATGCGAGATGGAGAATGAATGGACGAATGAATGAATGAATGGACGAATGAATGAATGAATGAATGAATGACTCCCCTGATTTCTCTTCACATCCAACCTCAAGACTCTCTTCGAGGACGAAACCTTCCTATCAACCCTGCCAGCCCCATCCCGTGCGGTGTTTTGAGCGCATGCGCACGCACCAGGAGCGCCTCCTTCTCCGCGCTGTGCCGGCGCTGCGCCTCCTGCAGTCTCTCCTCATACTGGCTGTACAGCTTCCTCGTCATCTCCCGCATCACCTCTGCGTTGGCTTCCTGGGATGACTCCACCTGCAAAGAGTCTCACTGCAGAACTGCAGCCTGTACCTCGCCCCGCTAGCGCATCTGCACACCAAGGTCAGAGCATGACTCCCAGGGAGGAGCAGCAGGCAGGAGGGCAGGGGGAGAGAGCAGAGCTTACACCAGTGAAAGGCAGCACTGGACACTAAGTTATTTAGGAGGATTGGGACAGGGTGTTTCAGAGAGCAAATCTTTCAGAAGGTCACTTCTTGGGGCTGGGGAGATGGGCTGAGTTGGTAAAGTTTTTCCAGAATCCACGGGAAAAGCAAAAAAGAAAGAAAAGGAAAACAAACCAACAAAACAGCCAGGCACGGTGGCTCACACGTCTAACTCCCAGCACTGAGTAGTCAGAGACAGGTAGACGATCCCTGGGGCTCACCGACCAGTCAGCTATAATCAGCAAGCCCCAGGTCTCCGTGAGAGACTCTGTCTCAAAAGTAAGATGGACAGCTCCGTTGACCTCTGACCTGCACCCATGCATATACACATGTGCATCCACACACATGCACCCATGTGCACATACATGTACAACTTATTTTAAAGATAGCTTGTCTAATCAACCCCATTCACTGCACTGACAAACCCCATCTCTAAGTCAGGCCTTATTAAGCACAAATAAGAAATCTGCGCTCATCTTTCCCGCACTGCATGCTTTCCAAACTGCTGTCTTTGGAAGCGTCTTGACGCAGTGGAGCCACAGAGCTGGGAGCCCTTAGTGGCTAGCCAGGGCAGGCACAATTTGAGAGTCTTTGGAGCTGGGTGGGGCAGGGCTCCAGGAATGGTGTCTCCTTTCTGGCCTTCAATGAGGACCTCATATCACTGACCCGATGCTGCTGCAGGTGTGCCTGGGCCCCTCCTGTCAGGCTTCTGTTTGTCTAAGACACCTGAGCATGTAAGTACCTCGCCTGTGGGAAAGGGAGCACCCTTTGGCCTTAATAAGTTGCATGTTGTCTACTCTTGATGCCATTGAATGTTCATCTCTGGGTAAGTGTCGGTACTGAGAATCCATAGGATGGAAATTCGAGAGCAAAAGTTATCATTCGCTCAGAACGTGGGTCCACACCACACTCCATTTCTGCTGCACACGCGCAGTGGAAAGGGACTCTGAGACCTGTTCACGCTGTATTCCAGCTGCACTTTGAGTCCCTGAAACCCCTTTCACTTTTAATTTGAAGGATAAAACTAAAGGAAGAGTGGAGAAAAACCTTTTGAGCTCCAGTGGTCAGGACCAAACTCAGTGTTGGTCTCTAAGACAGGCTTCTGTAGGCTGGACACAAGGGATCTGAGCTGCCAGGCTACCTTGCCATGCCTGGTGACATACCATCCCAGAGCAAAAGGGAACACACAGGACAGACCCAAACAGTAGGAGCTCAATAAGTGCTCTTGGAGTGAACAGGTACATGAAGGATTAATTCAGGGATTTCTGACTTCTTCCATAACAATCTTTTTTAATTTTCAAAGTAATGCCTAGTGAGAAATAGAATGCATAAAATAAGAAAGAGAGGGGGAGAGAAAGGGAGAAAGGGAGGAAGGAAAGAAGGAAGGAAGAAGGAAGGAAGGAAGGAAGAAAGGAAGAAAGGAAGAAAGGAAAAGGAAGGAAGGAAGGACTGACCGGGGGCTGGAGAGATGGCTCAGCAGTTAAGAGCACTTTCTGATCTTCCTGAGGACCTAAGTTCCCTTCCCAGTTCCCAAGCACCTTTCTCCAGCTCTGAGGGATCTGATGCCCTTTTCTGGCCTCTGTGAGCACTGCACTCAGGGACACAAGCCCACACTCAGATACATACATTTACATACAATTAAAAATAATAAAAACAGAAAGAGTTGCCTTACTTGAAGGGAAAGCAAAGAAGGGCTGAGGTACTCCGCCCAAGCCTGGCCCCAGGGTGGCTGTGACAGCAGGACCCCAGAGGGGAACGACAGAGTCTGCTGTGCAGCATGACAGGCACAGGGAAGAAGACACCACCCGATGGTTTTCCTAATTGAATTGTTAGCAGCTCCACTCTTCACTAGCATAGTCTGGCTTGGGCACTAAGTTATGCATGATTCACAGAATAGCTTAAGGCTGCACAGAACACAACTTGAAAACACAGTCTTGGGAGGGGGTAGCTCGTGAGGCCACACCTGTTCTTAGGTATCTGTAGACAGTTTATGGTGGCTAGGGGATAGAAACATTTTTTTCAGTGGTGTAGCCATTGGTAAGCTGCTCATGTCGGGATCCCATAAATAATTTCTCACACATACTCCTATAAGTAAGCCTGATTATACTCACATACACAAAAAGACACACAAGCAAAAGCAGTACTGGCCGGAACTAGGAAGGTGATAATGAGGGGGAGATAAGAGAGTAATGAGGGAGTGGATATGATCAAACTACACACACACACATGTATGAAAATGCCATGAGGAAACCATTATTATTTTATAGGGGCTTTTAAAAACTTAGGACCCCCAGGCTTGAGTGAAACTTTGTGAAGACCCACTGGTGCTTTCAAAGTTTTAGAAGTTCAGCTTGGGACTACACACAGTCCCAGTGGGCAAGAGGGACAGATATTTGGTGTGGTGGTGGTAGTGTGTGTGTGTGTGTGTGTGTGTGTGTGTGTGTGTGTGTGTGTGTAGGGCAGGGAAAGTTCTTGGAATTCAAAGAGCATACACATGGTGAAGGGAGAGCCCTCCAAAGCTCGTGAGTATATTCTAGACCCAGGAAGCATACTGCTGGCCTTCCCAATAATATAACCACAATGTCACACAGGACACTGTAGGCTAGGAAAGGTGTACCCCCAATATTTGTGCAGCACCTCAATGCTAGGCAGGGAACTGTGAACAGACACCTCTTGGCACCTTGAGACCATGCCTGTGGGTAAGGAAGCCTAATGAGAAAGAGAATGGGGAAAGGGAGATGAAGAATTAGGGGAGACAGGTCAGGGGAACAGGGCCGATTACTTTACCTTCATTTTCAGCAGCTGGTTTTCCATTTGAGCAGCCTCCAGCTGCCTCTGCTTCTCCCGCAGCTTGTCCATGGAGGCTTCATAGGTCTGCTGCAAATGCCTGATTTGATCCTTGATGTTGCTATTTTCCAAAGTCACATCCACAAGGGTTTTCTATTTGGGTGAAAATTAAGAACCCAGATCTAGTGACATAACACACAGCGGCAGCACCCCATTCTGAGTCACGCTATAGCAGCTCCCAGGTGGGGACCAGGGAGTCCCACCGCGGCTGAGGCCTGTTGGTTTAGTGGACCACAGCCTTCCCTACAATCCCCAACAGCTGTGGGCCATTAGACTTGCCTCTGCTTAGGATGGGAAGATGGATTAAGTGGAATCTTTCTCAGGGAAAATGCTCAAAATACTATCGTTTCACATGGTGGGGGGGGGAGCAAGTGTAAACACAGTCCAATCCCATTCATAAATCCAAACCCATGAAAGCTTTCCCTACATAACAATTGAGATGTGTTCCTGTTTTGTTGTTTCCCTGTCTTTTCCATATTCTCACAGTGAAATAAAAGTATTTTATAGACTAGAGACAAAGTTCACAGTTTTGCCTGACAAGTGTCAAGAACCTGCTAAGGGGGCTAGGGATGTAGTTCAGATGGTGGAGGGCTTGGCTAGTGTGCTGGTTAGTCAGCTTGACACAGCCAGAGTCATCCAGAAAAGGGAAATCTCGATTGAGAAAACGCCTTCCCCCAGACCGGCCTGTGGGCAAACCTGTGGTGAACTTTTCTTGATTGGTAATTGATGTGAGAATACATAGCTCACCATGGCCTGTGCTGCTCCTGGGCAGCTGGTTCTGGGTTATATAAGGAAGCAGGCTGAACGAGTCTGTAAGCAGCACTCCTCTATGGCCTCTGCATCAGCTCCTGCCTCCAGGTTCCTTCCCTGACTTCTTTCAATGATAGGCTGTGATGTGGAAGTGTAAGCTAATAAGCCCTTTCCTCCACAAGTTGCTTTTGGTCAGGATGTTTTATCAAGACAATAGAAAGCAAACTAGGAAACCCAGCATGCACACAGTCCAGGGGTCCACTCCCAGCACTGTATACATGATGTGTGGTAGCTCAGGTCTGTAATCATAGCACTGAACAGGTAGAGTCAGGAAGGTCTAATTCAAGGTCATCCTGGGCTACATGGTGAGTTTGAAGCCAGCCTGAGAACATGAGACCATTTCTCAGGAAAAAAATACTGCTGACTGACTGCTGCTCCAGGACACTCATGTGGGTGAAACTAATTAAATTAATAATGCTGCTGTTTGCTGCTTCTGTTTCTATTTAATGAGTGAGAAATGATTCCTATAATCCCTGGACTCTGCGCACTGGATACTGGGGTGTGGGCATTATCTGCAACTTCAGGTTGCAAGACTCAGAACCTGGTGCCAGATGGTGTTGTGGAACAATCTTTTTGAATGCTGTGAAGATGTGTCTTTGCCAAGGTGCCTTCTGATTGGTTTAATAAAAGAGCTGGCTGGCCAATAGCTAGGCAGGGAAAGGTTAGGCAGGATTTGGGGGAGGGGGAGCCAGATGCAGAGAAAGCAGGAGATGAACATGCCACAATGAAAAAAGGTACCACCACATAGTAGAACATAGATAAGAAACAAGAGTTAATTCAAGTTGTAAAAGTTAGTTGGTAACAAGCCTAAGATATCGACTGAGCATTTATAGTTAGTAAGTCTCTGTGTGGTTATTTGGGAGCCGGCTGGTGAGACAGAGCTGACTAGACAGAGAAAGTCCACCTACAAGATGGCATATCTATCTCCTCTGTCCTCTGATGAATGACTGGTCTCTGAAGATTCCCCATCCCTCCTCATCAGATGACAACGTACCAAAGCCCACTTGAATCACGTTAGAAACTGTCACTGGAGATTTAAAGTTATCAAAGGAAACACTGAAGCCACTGGAAGATTCCAGGAGATGCAGAAGACATCTAGCCTAATGTCCAAGTCCTTCTGGGAGAAAAACGGATGCACAAACACTTAGTCTTGACCAGGAGACCAGATTTGTCTAATTCTGTCTCTGCCACTAGCTCAACACTTTATGTCGTTGATCTCTGCTGGCTTCAGTTTATCCACAGAAGTCAGGATTTTGGAGCCTATCTCCACAGTCTGCCCAGCTCTGCCTTTCAAAGAAATGAAGCCAAGAGTCTGGTCTTTGTCAGTCATGACAAACATGAGTAGAAGGGACACATGGAAGAGTCTGGGATCTTGCACAAGTAAGAAGTCAATGACTGACCTTCAGATATGACTGACGGCATAATCTTCTAGTTGTGTGGCTCTGCTAGCAGTCCAGGATTCAGAGACTAAGGGCCCTTGGGTTAGGAATAACCCTGTTCTATTAATTGACCTATGAGTTAAATGCCTAGATTGTCAACTAAACAGCACATGAGAAGAATTTGCCTTAAAATGCATTGTTTTTCTGGGAAGAAAAACCCAGAGATGTAGTGCAGACACAAGCAGGTCCAAACTTAGGTTGGGCAAAGCCTCTCTGGTAGGCTGAGCAGTGAAATGGTTTCCAAGAGGGAAGGAAAGAGGGCCTTGGCAATCCCTCTTCAAGATAGGAGGAAGGGAACAAAGAGCTCCCGAATGAACCAGGGGGTTGGCCTGAGGCCAGGGGGAAGCTGGCATACACAAAACGGAGCCAGGAAAAGCATGGGACTGCAGCCCAACCAGAAATGGGCATCCCAGACAAACCCAAACACAGCCCTGCCCCACCCACTGCTGGAAGCTGGCCGAGCTTTGTTGCCTCTGGGCTCCATCAGCTATGGCTGGTGAATTCTAAGTTCTATGGGAAATGGAGGAGCCCAGTCTGCTGGCCTGTTTGCTCATCCACAAAACTATTTACACAGGACCAGAAAGCATTAGAAATGAGTGGGCTGAATGCTTAAGAAGACATTAAAAGATAAGCCAAGTAAACTCAGAGGATGACAGACATGATTGTGGATTTGGAAAGGAAACCCAAGGGCTTTCTCTGAACATCTTCAAATGAACTTGCATGCTAGGCAGGAAACCTCTCAGTTGGAAGAGTAAAGACTGAAAGCCCTTTAATGTTTAGCTCAGAGCAAGTATCTGGTAGTGGATCTTAATTAGGAATGTCTATTAAGAAAGTCTTCATTCTCTGGAACACACATGATGCTTTCCAACATAAGTGCTTTCTGGGAGAGTTACTTCCCATGACAGGTTGCATTTTGTCTTTGGCATTATGTCTTTTCTGTCACCAAGTGGGACTTCCTGAAGCACCAGAGCTACAAGGAGAAGATAGTTATGTGTTGTGTAAACACAGGGGACCACTTAGGTACCTAGAAAGCAGGAGACATCTCCATCCCAGAGCTGAGTCTAAAACCCCATTGACACAGGTGCCTGACAGAGAGAGGCTCAGCACTTCTGTTGGAAGTGTTTCCTCTGACTTCCTCCCCGCCTTCCAGAAACTGTGTTTACCAGGCCTGTGCTTAAAGGACCATGGCTGACCATGGGACATTCTGTGCCTTTTCTGCAAATAGGTCCCAGTTCTGTTTAAGCTCGCCGCCCTATAAAGAGAAGGTTCCCAGATAAGGGGAGGCAGAGAGATACCTGCAGGCCAACAGAGTCAGACGCCAATGCTGAGTTCATGGCACTGAAGCTATCCAGGGCAGACGACTGTGCTTGGATGTGGCTGTCTAGGTACTCCTGCTGAGCTTGAGAAACCTGGAGAGAGGAAGACAGTCACTCAAGACCAACCTACACCCCATAGATTCTAGGGAGGGGGAAATTTTCTGAGAGCAGGCACATCTGCTTCAGTTATATTTACGGTAAAACTATAGACTACAAACCAACATAGGGGGCCAGGGAGCTAGCTTAGTCAGTAAACAGCTGTCCACGAAAGAGAGAACACACTTCCTTTTTCTTGGTGTGTATTTCAATTTGGATGTTTTTAAACTGCTACAAGTGATGCTAAAAATAATTAGTTCATCCACATGTCATTTTGCACCTGGGGGGGTTAACCTGTAGAATAAATTCTTAGGAATGGAATGTGAGGGCTGGGACTGTGGCTTGGATGGTAGAGCATGTACAAGGCCAAGGGTTTGATCCTTATCACCCTATAAACCAGGCATGGTGGTGCACACCTATAATCCCTTCACTGGGGAGGCAGACACAGAACGAGGAGTTCAAGTTCATTCGAGATTGAGCCCATCCTGGACTACACAGGACTTCATTTTTCAAAAAAGATAAAAAATAAATTTAAGTAGGCCGTTCACTAGAATTGATCTGGGTAGGGGCTGGAGAGATGTCTCAGCAGTGAAAAGCATGTACCTTGTAATGCATCTACAAGGAAGATCATTAGACATTCTCCTTTGGATAATAAAGTTCAATCTGTGACTTGAGAAAACGTTCTCTCGGATCATATAAAGTCTGACTCCATAAGAAGCATAAGCTATTTAAACATCTCCAGGTCACTGGGCATAAGTCCCAAGCCTTGCCATCCTCTCACAGCCACAGTGCCAACGGGTGGGCTTACCGACTGGTGGGCTTACCGACAGGTCCTGGGTGAGCTGGCGTATCTTCTGCCTCATCTCATCATAGTCTCCGTACATCCGCTTCCTCACTTTCTCCAAAGTGGCCCTCACCTGCAGCCACAAGAATGCTCATGAGACATCAAGTTACCATAGTTGCACGAAGCATACTGGAAACTTTATTAATAAGAGAAAGATCCACCAAAAAAAATCTTAAGAACAAGACATGTAGCAAATTAAGTGACAAGATCACTTTCAACATCTAGTTAGAAACAATGGAAATGATCCAAACAATACAGTTTATTATCAAGGAGGATAAGAACTAATAAACATTAAGTTATCCAAGCAATAAACTGAGGAACAACCGCTTTGTTAAAACCCACCCTTCACCCTCAAACACCGTTTGAACAAAGTTTACCCCTTCCAATCACATGTTTTTACAAGCAGGGAGATTTTACCTAATCGACTGTAAACACATAGCTATGAGAATGAAAACGTTCCGAAGCAACAGAACACACACGGGGAGTAACAGAGAGGAAAGTGGTCCCCAACTCCTCACCCACACAAACACTGCGGAAGTCTGGACTAGGGTGACTATCAGGAAATTGTTAAGTGGGAAGCTCATGCACAACCCTGTTTCCCCATCTTCTGGTCTCCATAGATGCTTGGTAAAGTTCTTGAGAGTTCCCCAACAGATCAAGAAGTCTGGAGATGGCTCCCTCTAGGCACACTCCAGGCTGTCTAGCTTACAAATGAATGGAAGCAGTCTGGTTTGAGTGCAAATGTTTAAGAACGGTACTGGAAGACTTGATACTGAAGGTATACTTGTGTAAGAAACTCCTTATTTTGCTTTGGAACTTTTGTTTTCTCTTTCTTGTACTAGGGATTTGAACTCAAGGCCTTGAGCATGCTAAGCAAGAATGCTAACACTGAGTTACATTTTCTTTTAGAATGGATGTTGGTGGAGAGTTCTAAGACAGGAGGCAAGACCTCAAGCATTCCCCAGATGAGGTTAATTTTTTTTAAGATTTATTTTTTTAAAGTGTGTATGTGTGTGTGTGTGTGTGTGTGTGTGTGTGTGTGTGTGTGTGTGTGTGTGTGTTTTCATGAGTGCCAGGAGAAGCCAGAAGAAGATGTAGGTCTCTTAGAACTGCTGTTACAGATACTTGTGAGCTGCCTGAAATGGGTAAGGTGCTGGGAATCAAACTTGGGTCCTCAGTAGTAGGAACTCTTAACCCCTAAGCCATCTCTCCAGTCCCTACCCACATGAGTTCTAATTACCCACTTTCTTCTCAGTGACCACAAACGACTGGGAAATGAGTCTCAAAGCATGACACTTCATTCTAGGGAGTAAATAACTCTATCACCCTAGGTGGCTCTTGTGCTGTCACCAGACTCTCGAGATGGGTGTTGCTCCCACTGAAGAGTGTAGGAAGCCAACAAGGCCAGGGCGCCTCCCATCAGGGAGCAAGGGCAACAAACTCATAAACACACTGAGGAATGAGCAGGCTGGATCTGACACCGGCCATTGAAGGTGCACCTAGAAATTAACTCTGTATTGCAGATCACAGTGGAGGGTGGGAATTTTGGGTCAGAACCAGTTCTGTGATTTCAGCGCATGTCATTTATATCTGAGGATTAGCCCGAACCTGCTGTATTGTATTTGTCTTGGGCAATTTGGGAGTCTCAGTTCTACATAGAAGGTTTGCCTCTAAAACTTCTACAGCAATCCCAACTGATATGGAGCATGTAAATGAAGACAGTCTAAATAGTTTCTTGAGAAAGTCTGCAATTGTTAAAAAAAATCAAAAACAGAAACCCCCCCCCCCCACAATCTGAGGGCTGGAGAGATGGCTCAGCAGTTAAGAGCACTGACTGTTCTTCCAGAGGACCTAGGTTCAAATCTCAGTACTTACATCGAAGCTCACACCTGTCTGTAACTCCAGTTCCAGGGCTTCTGACACCCTCCCACAGACATAAATGCACGCAAAACACCAAAGCATATAAAATAAAAATAAGTTATATAAAAAACAGTCTGGAATTAAATATTCTGAATGATTAAAAAGACTATCTTTTGGAGCTCAGATACCTGGGTGTTCAAGACTGGTGGTTGTAAAACATTGTATGTATGTATGTATGTATGTATGTATGTATGTATGTATGTGTGTATGTGTGTATGTGTGTGTGTGTGCTCATGTGCCCATATGCATGTGAGTATGTGTGTGTGGTGTATGTACCTGTTCTTGTGGGTGATGCATGTATGTGTAAGGGTGTGTGTGTGTGTGTAGGTCAGAAGTTAACATTAGGTATATTTCTTGATCATTTTCCACCTTATTTTTTGAGGTAGGGTCTCTCACTGAACTTGGAGCTCATCTATTCAGCTACAGTGGCTGGCCAGTGAGCTCCAAGCATCATCTTGTCTACCCCACCAATGCAAGAGTTATAGATGCCAGAAACCACACAGTTTTTACATGGATATTGGGATCTGAACCCTTGGATCTTCATGCTTATGCAATAGGCAATTTATGAATTGCACCATCTCCCAACCCATGTGTTTGTTATAAAAAAAACCCCAACAATTCATACAATAGCTAAGACAATGTGGCTTTGTACATCATCTGTCCCAAGTCAAATGAGCCTCACAAAACTGGAGGCTTTGACCTCAGGGATGAGAGCCCACCTATAGATGAATAAACTGAGGCCTAGAGGACAAAAGGCCGCACTAAGAGGAACCTAGGTTTGATATGGAAGCAGAACCAATGAGCTCACAGGCCAGGGGACTTCTCCAGCCTGTTACATTCGCTTCCTCCAGCACTGAGCTGTGGGTCTGTGTCTGGAGCCCATACACACCATTTCTTCTGTCTTATAACTAGTCTGGTTTGAGTTTGGCAACATCACTCAGACTAGTGTGGAAGGAGGGGACACTGGGTATCACAAAAAGAGACAGACAGGCAGCCATCAAAATATTTGAAGATAATGATCCAAAATGTTAACCACAGAAGAGATTGAATGGTGCAAGATGGTCAATTGTTTTCTTCTTCGTATACTTCTCCCAAACTATTTCAGCTTAAAAGACAGGAGGCAATATATGAAATACAAAGAAATTGCATTGGTTCACGTAGACTGTGCCTTGTATATTGTAGTTGACTTCCCAAAATTTATTTCCACCCAAATAATTGGTGTGAACTTGCCAAGTCTGCCTATGACCCCTGTCAGTGATTGGTGTGGGATGGGGTATGTGACCATCCCTGGCCAAGATGCCATGTAAGGGGAAACCTACTGGGGTCAGGGCAACTTTGCAGAAATGGGTGCCCTGTTTTCTTTCTCCAAACACTGCCATATGTATAGAAGAGACAAGCTTGAGGAGAAAGAAAACCAGACTCAGAGTTTAGCTGTGATCTGCTCCAGACTCATCTCCAGGGAAGACACATCTCCTTCTGAGTTGGTGGTTCTTTTATGAGTAGCCAGCAACACCCACATTCATGCAGTTGCCCAAACACAGACATTATGTGTGTCTGGTAACCTATGCAAAACCACTCAAGATCTCCACACCACACCCAACAGCGCCCTGGGTCTACCAGTAAGTAACAGCCACCCAAGAGAAGCTTGGTGAAGAGTTACACCTGCCCCTATAGCATCACCACAAAGAAATGGAGAAACATTTCCATCCCAAGTAAGACTTTCAAAATGCCTACTTAACACTCCTATTCACGCTTCCGACCCCACCCACCTCTCTGCTTCAGAGAACAGAAAGACAAAACATCCATGAGTGACTCACATCTTTGATGTAGTTCATCTCTTCTTTCAGCTGATTCGTGGACCAGCCATATACAACCATTTCCTTCTGCTGGTTGGGATCCGATCTTCGCACCACACCGTAGACAACACCCTGAGGAAGCTTCCTGGTAGGTTCTCCATTGCTTAGTTCTGGAGGCTAGGAGAAGGCAGGAAATGAGAAAAAGAGTGTAAGTCTCATGAACACAACAATCTTACTGGACACCCATGTGTGATTAAGCAGGCTGCACCTGGCCCTGGGTACCTGGGCAGCAGAAGAAGCTAGGGGCAGAAGGCCGGGTTGGCATCTGCTGGTCACGCTGTTCCTGGCATAGGCTGGGGCTGCCTGCACCCTGGAAAAAAGCATGACTGCCCACTTTTTTCTCTGTGTAGCTTTGTAAACCAGGCTGTCCTTAAACTGCCTCTGCCTCCCGAGTGCTGGGATGAAAGAGGTGTGCCACCACCGCCCAGCTGACTGCCCACTTCTATCAAGTCCTGGTCCACTGTCCTCATTGGTAAGAACCTTCATACCCCATTTTCCCAAGGGGACATCAATTTCTAATTCTCACAAAGATGCCAGAGGAGTTATGTCATGAAACCCTGCACTGAGGAGACACTGATTTCTGCCTTACACCAGTCCCTCCGATGACTTTAACTGCCTGAACAACCTCAGGGCCTAAAATGTGGAAGCTGAGGTTGACTGTCATCTGGTAGAGAAACTGTTCTATGAGGGCAGCTGACCCTGCAGCCAAGCTCTGAGGGAAAGAGATGGGAATGACCTCTTATGAAATATTTCTGGAAAGCCAGGCAGAGGTGGTGTGACTCCAGGCCCGAAGCATCTCCTCACTCTACTTAGCTGGTCTTTAACCCTGCAGTTAAACCCTGAATCATCAAAATGCTGCAATCAAAAGGACCACGTCCTAATCTAGCACAACTTTGTAGGATGAAGGCTTCAGGAAGCAGGAAAAGAAAAAAAAAAAAAAAAACAAAGTGTTTTCTGACCACCAAGAAAATTCCTTCAAATGTTTAGTGTTCACAGGCACTCACCATCACGGAGTTTTTTCCTGTCTACTTCATAGCTGAGGGCATTGAAGTTCAAAGGTGCTAAATAGCTTGTGTGTGATCGCACATTCACATCTAAGCCAATCCTGTGGGTGCTAAGACAGCCCCTCATAGTGAAGGTCTGTTAGACGTGGGGAGACAGAGTAGGGATCTCCTCAAATATGAAGGGGATAAAGGCAAGGAAAAGAAAGAAAAAACAGGAGAGAGAGAGGGGACAAAGGCTGGTGAAATGGTTCAACCAATAAAGTTCTTACCACCAAGCTCAATGACCTGAGTTCCATCTTCGGGTTCTACATGGTGGAAGGAGAGAACTAACACCTACACAAGTTGTTTTCTGACCTCCACATGGGCACTGTGGTTCACTAGCTGGCACACAGGCGCCAGCACACACATACACACACACACACACACACACACACACACACACGCACACGCACACAGAGGGTGGGGGACACAAAGAATAAAAAAAGGCAACAAAGAATATTTTTTAAAGAAGTAACTTTTAAAAGAAAAAAGAGAAGAAGAAAACAAGACCCAGGCTGAGACTTCATAGACAAGCTGCTTCTTCGAAGCTGTCCCAGGAGCTGACCAGGATTTAGTCTACACCACAGGCTACTCCCCTCCATCACCAACTGTTCTCTTTCTTTCCTGTTTTGGGGACAGAGTCTCACTACATATCCTTGGCTGAACTGGAACTCACTAGGTAGACCAGGCTGAACTCACTGAGATCCACCTGCCTCTGCCTCCCAAGTGCTGGGATTAAGTGTGTACCACCACACTGGATTCTATACCAATGTTTTCAGTTACCTTTTTGTAGACTTTTCCCAGGTTTTCAGAAAACTTTTTGAAATACAAACTGTAACTTGCATTTTAAATTATTTATTGTCACAAAATAATTATTACTGAGAACATTCAAAGTTTGTAAAATAAAAAAATAAAACCCAGAAAGATTCATGACAAATTGTTAATCACTTCTGAGAAGGGAACAGTGAAATGAGTTAGAGATGCTGGAGAACAAAAGGGAGACTTTTTTTTCCTTTGTTCTCTGCATTATTTGTGAATACTTTGACCATAGGAACTATTAAAGAAGGGAAAAAACACACCCGATGCTTTTTACTATTCTGTACAAACTTGGGAAGTGGTGTGATGTGAGGATCTTGGTAACAGCCTGAATATGTGTCCCAAGCACCCGGATCCCGTGGGTGCTGCTACTACCCTTGAAATTTGTCAGTTTCAGTGACAAAAGGGCTGCTAAATGGTCCCTGGTGGAGTGACACGCTGGCATTCAGATAGCCCCAATTTGCTAGGCTCCTAATTAGGAAAAGGAAAAGCTCCAATGAAACTCCCCACAGACCAGGAAACACAAGCTGTTCTCCCAGCCCTGGACCCCACCCAGTTCCTGAAAAACAGGCTGCTGATGACAAAGGGCTCTGATGAGACACCTAACACAGCAAGGTGCCCAGAGGGAATCCCGCCCCCTGGCAGATGAGGACAATGCCAGGGGGTCAGCCCTACAATTGCAGTGCTGAAGAGTCTCAGGCAGGGGGATTGCCCTAAGTTTGAGACTAATTGTGGTTGCATAATGAGTTCAGGCCTGTTTGGGTTACAGAGTGAGATACTATCCCAACAAAGAGAAGGATTTATGTGCACTAAAACATACCTAAGATACATTCAGTGAAAAAATGTTTACACTCCGGTTTTTGTTTTAAGAATGTGTGTGGAAAATTTCTATGCGAGTGTAGTGGAACACACCTTTAACCCCAGCACTTGGGAGATAGATCTCTGTGAGTTCAAGGTCAGCCTGGTCTACAGATCGAGTTCTAGGACAGCCAAGACTCCGCAGAGAAACCCTGTCTCAAAAAGCAAAAACAAAACCAAAAAATCAAGAAAGAAAATTTCTAAAATGACACAATCTAAACCTTTGGTGACAATCTCCTCTGTGGGAACAGAATGTCATCTTTTCCTCCGCATCCTTTTGCACGATGGCCTGTTGTTGTTGTTGCTGAATCATTTTTATGTAAACTTTTTAAAAGATTTATTTTGGGGGTGGACACAAAGTTCCACCCCTAGCTGGAGCTACTGGCATTTGATAACTGCTGAGAGTCCGTTTTCTTTAAGGGTGTGACCCCTGGTAGGCTGACCACACTCCAGGACACAGCCCCACGCCCAAGAATATTTGGACAGCACAAACTGGACTGGACTTATTTTTAATAAAGGAGGACATGAAGTTCAGTAGATAAAGAAGTAAGGGTGGGTAGGGGAGGAGTTGGGGAAAGGGTGAATATGATACAAATACATTGTATGAAAGCATCAAAAAATAAATTATTAGTTTTAAAGACTTATTTTTAGTTATCTGTATATGCGTGTATCTGTGTAGGGGTACATGTACATGTACATGTGAGCACAGGTGTCCACAGAACCCAAAAGAGGGTGTCAGATCCCCTGAAGCTGGAATTGCAAGTAGTTGTGAACCACCCAATATGGATGCTGGGAACTGAACTCAGGTCCTCTGCAAGAGCAGAACACATTCTTAGCCATTAAGCCATCTCCTTGGGCCCCTTTATCTCAATTTTCCAAAGAAAACTAAAAGTAAAAATTATTAAAATTTCATCTAAATAAAAGACTTCCAGAAAAGGTTGTGGTCACAGGACTCCGCTGAAAAGCAGGGCTGGTGGCATGGTGTTCCTTAGGGGAAGACGCTGGAACATGCAGGGAAAGTCTGGAAAGGCATTCATGAAGAAAGAGAAGGAAGAAAACATTTGCTACACAGTGATTTTTATTACACTAAAGGAAATTTTTATTTCCATTCGTCCTAACAATCCTACTGTGTAAATGTTATTGTTTCATCTGGGGTGAACACTCAGGTTCCTGTCTCTGTCTTTCCAAATGTGAACGCCTCCAACTACACCACCTCTGAGCCAGCAAAAAAAAAAAAAAAAAAAAAAAAAGCAGGGAATTGGACCTCATGTGGCTATGTGGAATTCCAGCATTTAAAGGGGAAGGGAAGCCGGGAGCCCAGTCCTCGAGTGCCAGAACCGTTTGGAAGAGGAAGGTCAGAGGTAGGGGCTCCTCTCCACTTCCGCTCCTCACCTCCACCCGCCATGATGCTCCCTCTCGCCCCATCTTCTGCCAACTCCTTTTGCCTCGCGCCAATCTTCCCTCTGCCACACTGCTAGGGATGTCCCTTAACCAGGGTGACTTCCTTAGCCCTTCAGAAGCTAGGCTCCTCAGCTCATTCTCCGCCCCACCACAGCCATGCCTGAGTCCTCATGCCCATTCTCTGCATGACCACAGCCGTGCCTGGGTGACTGTGGGTGTCCTTAGGATCAGAGGCCTGCTCCCCGGCAGCGACCAGTCCCAAGACACGAAGGCCTCATCTGTCTTCTTTTCCACCCTAACTGCAGCAGCCAGCAGTCATGGGCACACTGTGACTCTCAGCAAATATTTACTGAATGAATAGAAGTTTTAGAAGCTAGCAGAGGCTCTGGGGAATCACCCTGAATATGCAAATACAGCCCAGCTGAAGGAAAAGCCCTTTGTCCCACTCAGTACAAGGGACAGACAGCAGCCCAGAGCTTCAGCCACAACATGAAACCATGAGAAGTCCCAAGACATCATGTTTAGAAAGTACCAACATGCTTGAGGTCAAATGCTAGAGAACACAGAAAAATGTAAAACTAACATGTTTGCAAATATTTAAAGGTCATTTCTTTTCTTCTCTTAAAATATCCCTAAATGAATATTACTTTCAGACATGATGAAAATTATTGTGGTAATACTAAAAGGTAGTGTTTACCTTTGAGAGAAGCATACTAAAACATTTATGACGTATTTGTTTATATGTGCAGGTGAAGGAAGTGGACAGGATGTCGAGGTGGATTGGCCATGGGTTGGGGGCTACTGTGACTGAGTCAAAGACTAGGAGCTTATTCCACCTCAGTTTCCTTTGGTATAAGTTTCCAACTCTCAATAGTTAAAAGTTTTTCAAAGCTTTAGAATGCTTCTTTATATCTTTAAAAAAAAAACAAGTTTTAAATTATATATGGAGGCTGGCAAGATGGCTCAGCTGGGGAAAATGCTACCTAATCTGAAATGCCA